GAGAGCCCCAAATGTTTTACATATGTATAATTTCACTAGGAAATCAGGGCAACTCCTTGATTTCTTATGTTTTTTCTTTTCTTTTCATGTATCATCTGATTTCTTTAAAAGTCTTTTGTAGTTATAATTAACATATACAATCCAATGGTTCAATCATATCAAGAAATGCTGTGCAATCACTTCACAATCAACTTTGGAATCTAGTTTTTCCCTTTTATTCATTGAGGTGGATTCCCCATCCTCTCCTCCCTACCACTGTGGGTCCCCAGGTAATCATCAGTCCCATTACTATGTTTGCATTTCCTTCCCTCCCAGTTTCCCCGTATATGCTGAGAGCAGGCACCAACCAGGGATCCAGCAACAAGAGTCAGACAAAACTGAGACCTCAATCTAATAGAAAGTAGAGAATATGAAAAGTTTACTATAAATTCACGTTGGGTCTGTAATGAAATAAAATTCTAAAACTTTACATCCTTTCCTGAATACAGTTGCTAAAATCCTTTCACAATGCTCACCATCTCATTTTTAAGCTATTACAGATTCAAGCCAATGAGCATGGGGATTCACAGTAGGCTCATCCCAGGACCCTATAAATAGATTTTTATTTTATTTTTTTGAGTCACTACAGGGTCCTGGGAAATTAATGACTTGCATGAGATTCAACTAGAGAGTTAGATTTGCATCCTGAATCTGGACTACATGTCTAAAGATTTTCTCCTATTGTTCAAACATATCTCCACATTTCTTCTTAATTCCATTATTTTGTTTAGCATTTAATGGAGTAAAATTATGTGCATACCCAATTAATAATGATCATGATTATATTGCTTTATCTACTTCCACAAAAGCATACAAGAAAGGGCTATCATCATCTGCCAAGATCTCTTTTGGCTTATGTATAAGAATATCTTATAAGGTATTTTTACACATCTATGAATTTTAAAAATATATATCTTAGGAAAATAAATAATTTTATAAAATTTCAAAAATGCAATTTACAGTTGTATTTAGAAAATTCAGTAATTCCTTTAAATAATACATATATATGTGTGTCCATACACTTGCTTAATGTTTGTACAGTTGTTTTAATATCTTTATGACATTTATATCTATCAACCCAAACCCATTTTTCTCCAGTAGATTCTGACGCACGGAGACCCATGACAGCAGAGGAAAACAATAGTGCACAGGGCTTCCACGGCTGCGACTTCTCAGAAGCTTACCATCAGGCCTTTTATTAAGGCACCTCTTGGTGGGTTCCCCCCAATGCCCCCCCAAAATTCCTTGAAATCGAATCAATTCTTACTCATATAACTTCCCCAGAGAGTCTATAGGTTGTACATATTTACTGAAGCAAATGAAATGCTCCTCCTTTCTTCTGGGAGGCATCTGGTGTGTTTGAACCATTGGCCTTTCAGTTAGCAGCCAAATGCTTTATCCATTGTACCATCAGAATTCTTTCTTAGTTGGTTATATTTCTAACCTCTGCTCTAGGAACAGGGTCAATAGTTAGCAGCTCACTATATAAATAATTAGCAATTTTAATATTTTAATGAACTAAAATCAAACCCAGTGCTATCCATTTGTTGCCAAGGTACAGTGCCCATAAACAGCACCTGGTAGGTTTGAGCCGCCGACCTTTAAGTTAACAGCCCAATGCTTATCCCATGGTGCCACCAGGACTCTTGAATGGCTAATGTCTATTCAAGCCTTTTTTAATGTGAGTTTCTCAAAGAGGCTCTCTCTTTCTGCTCTATTCTCCACACTTTAGCTCTTTTATTTGTTCCAAATTCAGTGAACCTGGGGGAAAAGACTTAGTTTTGTTCATGTTGAACAGCCTTTGGTATATAATAAGTATTCAAAAATACGTCTTTAGTATCTCTGAATGTGTTTCTTTAGTTTATTAACTTCTTTCTCCTCTCATTTTCTCACTGAACATAACATTAAAAAACCAAAATAAATTAATGTTTCTGAGTATTTACTTACTTGCTGAAAACAGAAGCATTTAAATCATCTTTCCTAAAATACAAACTATACCAAAATTTACAAAAGCTAAAAAACTGAACACATGATAACAAAACCCTAAATGCTGATGTAATTATCCATTTTTAAAATTTTCTCAAAGTTCTGAATCACACAGAATTTTATAACAATTCTGCTTTTTTTTTGCTTGCAAGATATGTAGAGGAAGAAATTAGTTACACCTTTCTAGTACTGTATTGTACAAATAAACAGACTACAACAAAAATACCAGTGATGGAAGCCCTTGAAAAAAGTAAGTAGTTTATGAAGGTCTCCAATCCTGCTTTTACCAAAAGGATCCAAACACTATGGTGGTCTGTGATACAATGATTTTATGCCTCTGAAATAATTATCATATAAATGCATCACATATATCAACAAGAAAACTACATTAAGTAGATTATTTTAAACTTCCTTAGGGATGATCAGTCTATTATCCATTTTCCTGTTTTCTCACAGTCGCCTCCAAGAAGAGCTATGTTTATCTAGTCTCCAGTCAAAGAAAACATGGAATCTTTATTCAGAGTTAGCTCTCTAAACATATCTTAAATATTTGTAGATTTACGTTGAGGCAAGCATAACATGAAAATATTTGGATGTAAAAAAAAAAGAAAGAAAGAAAATATTTGGATGATTTCCCCAAGAGTCAAACCAGTTTAAGGGTATCTTAAAGTTAAATATAGCCAGATGTTTGAATGAACTAACTGCTTAGCAATTCAGATACTTCTTACATAGCAACTCAAAATTTCCAACAAAATCAATTAGATCTATTTCTTAAACAATTATTCGTAGGGTTGCTATGAGTTGGAATCAATTAGATGCAATGAGTTTGTTTCTTATTAGTGGATACTATATTTCATATTTATATATATGCCATCAATTAGTCTAGTGTAATAATATATATTTATTAAATATAACTATGCAAAATAAACTATAAAAGATAGTGCTAAAACTAAAAAACTATGTTTTCTAGATCAAATAAGTGCTAGCATATTTCAACATCTTTTAAATGACAATGTAGAGTTCTGATTCATGGGACATTGTTCTACATTATTTGTTTCCAGGCAATCACGCAAGTGAATATTACGATGACTTGCAAATGTCCCTGATGAACCTCACACACACTTTATGATTTGTCTAGGAATTTTGAATGGCATTTCTGCATCCTTGCTAATAGTGTACACTATGATAGAATATAAACATAAAATTTACAATGACTTATTTCACAAATATCTTATGGAATACTTGTTATATCTCACAGTTGAAGCAATAATAACCAAATTAAATCTGATGTTTTATATACCTTTTCTATTAAGTGACTTGTATATTCCATTTAAAATTTTTCAGGTGTCCCACAGTATAAACTTTAAGTGCTCAGGTAATTAATATGCTATGTGATTCCAAAAAAGGAGATATATCATTGGTCACAAACCTTTGAAGTGACTGCTCAATGAATGTGTTGTTTTAAGCCCTGGCTCTCTACTAAAGCAAGTTTTACTGTGAAAATCCCAGAGCTGGTATAAAATTTAATTTGTTTACATTCTCATAGTTTTAAATCAATATCTTTTAAAATTCAGAAGTATTGTTTATATATGTTTCCTGAATACTTTACAATCAGCTTTATTAATTGCATTACAACTTGTCATATAAAAGAAAGTAATGAATGTAGCATTCTAACATGATAAATGTTAGCATCTAAAATGCTAGAAGTAAAAAAATAAAATAAAATAAAATGCTAGAAGTTATTTCGAAGATATGCGCATAAAATAACAATTGTTTGCATAGATACAAACAAACCTATACACATATGAGCATATCAGACATTAAATTACATGTGGTACTTGGGATGCAAAAATTTTAAATGTAAAGTTTTGATCATTTACTGGGGACTTAAATTGTCTATAACATGTAGTTATTTGTAATCTTGTGGAAAAAGATGTTGCAATAACTTACAATGAACAGTGTGAAGAAAGAGTTACTTAACTACAGAATGAGCCTTCTGGCAAAATGAATCTCAAAATATTTTGGGTATTCTTATTTGGTCTTACTTGAAGTATTTCCTAAAGAAAATGTTAAGATTAAATTTAGTAAATATGATGGCAATATCACTACACTAACAATGCAATATTGTACTATAGAGGTGTAAGTGTATGATATATTTATATAACTTATGATTTACTATGTATAAAAAAAATCATTATTTCTATATGAATAACTTCTATTTATAGAGAAATACATGTTGGAATATGTCTTTAAACTTAGAGCTTTTCAAAAATACCAAGGCAATATTTTGTTAATGTTGAGTTTGCTTTATAGGGACTAAATAAATACTAGGATGGCAAAACTGCCACTAATTTTCTTTTTAGTTTTATTACATCTATTCAAAATATGGCCATCTATCTAGAGCATAGTTTACCATTAATCAGACACAGTTATATTTTTCAACATCATTTTTTCTGCAGAATTATTATTTCAAAGTGAATATTTCTTCTATGGATGATAACTTAGCATTCTAATTATAAATAGCTGGATAAATTGCTAGAACCCTTAATAAATGAATTCTAAAGTTCCAAAAAAATCAAGGAAGCAATGGCAATTTTTATACTGCAATAGCAAAGCAGACAGATTTTTCATATCAAAGTATATAAAACTTTCTATGTAAGCAAGCAAATTATCTATCAAATAGCAGGTTTGCTCTGTTCTGGGCAAGATGAGGCAAAGTAAAACAAAAACAGCTCATGATGAAAACCTTACTGGACCTAAGCATTCTGCAACTTTTCGCAAGTCACGTATTTTCTCTGTCAGAGAGAGAAAAACCAAAGTCCATATTTCTCATGCCTGCACCATATTTCCTTAATATCATATTCACAACAGTATAGTTCTAGAATTGCAATTAAAGTGAATTAGCCAATGTTCTGAAATACTTTGAAATATAGGGACTGCCAAAATATAAAGTCAAATAACACTTTCAAACTCACCCTTCTAATCTTACATCCGGCAGACTTCTGTTCAGGGCGATCAAATCACTGGCCATGAGGTTGAACTGGTTGATTTTGAACAGTTCTTTCATTTTCTCCTGGTCATCTTTAGGGATCAGCACAGCTTTTCCCATCTCTCCCGGTCCTTCCTGGTTCCTTGAAATAACCGCTGTAAAACACACACAGGTACACACACGTATGCAAACATAGAGATAATGAACTGGATAAATAAACTCATGCCTTGAGTTCAATTCTGAAGTAATATTTTGCATATTTATTTATTAATATCTTCAGGCTAGTTTGATTGCTTATTTATAAAACATACAATAGAGACCATTTAATTTATTATATCAATGATGCCTTTGTAGTTAATGCATATGATCTGATCAATTAGTGAAATTTAATAATTAATACAAAATACCAAAACCTGAATTGTTTGTTTACGTGTTCCATAACTTAGTCATAAAATTTTGCACTAGCCAGAACAAACGGTTTCAAATAAAAAAGTACTTTTCAAAGATTACCAATATATGTTGTGCTCCAATTTCTCCTTTCACCCATTGCCGTCAAGGCTCTGTTCTGATCCGTAGTGGCTGATAGAACAGAACAGGGCTGTCCCATAGGGTTTTCGTGGTGGATTCAAGTCCACGGCAGCAAATACGTTTTTAGTTCCCAGAAAGATTTCACATATTTCTCCTAAAGACCTTTTAGTTAGCAGCCAAGATCTTAACTATAGTTCTCCCGGGGTTCCTTTAATTTGCCCTTAAAGTGATAATGAGGATAAAATGGGGGGGAAATGCAATTCTTGTCCTGACTCATCCAAAGTTTAGTAAATTTGCAATACTTCAGTGGCCTGTGCATTGCTGTCATTATTCCAGAATCACTTATTGTCAACAGGTTTCAGTAAACACCCCAGACTGAGAAAGATAAGGGGGGGAATTGAAGAGTCTATTTCCCAAACTGAGTTCATTAAAACCCTATAGATCTCTACGGAACATGAACTGGAAGATGAACTGACCATGAACATTATGAGTAGAAGGGACCTTGATCGCAACCAACATATGAAAATGACTACCCTCCATTTCCAAAGATGTAAATAGGAAGGAATATTTGGATCCAGCCTACATTTAAAATTATTTTAACAAAACTTAATGATAATGTGTGTGAAAACAATTCATACATTATAAGTGATACTCAAACCAAATCTATCACCCTGGAGTCGATGCTGACTCCTCCTGACACCCTACCACAGAGTCACCCTGCTCAATGTGATTGTCGAGGTCATTAATCTTCATGGAAGCAAACTGCTGCATCTCCTCCCCATGGAGCGGCTGGTGGGTTCAAAGTGTAGACCCATCACTTGACAGTTGAGTACTTTTACCACTGTGCCAGCAAGGCTCCTTGTACATGATAGCATTTAGTAAAAATGCAGATGTTTTAATAATATAAGAATATAGCTAAAAGCTACAATTGGATATACTAATTAAACTGTTCTCTGATTTGGTATTCATAGTTATAGAATATCAAGAGTGTACTAATATACAATTGATTATCCATTTGATTTTTCTTCACATAACTTCCCAATGCCATGAGTCAAATTATGAGAGTATAGGCATTTCTAAATACCTGCAGATATGGTTAAGGGATAGAGGATTAGCCTAGAAATCTTCCAAAATACAGAAAAAATGGGAAGAAGTGGAAAATTAAAAAAATGAATATGTATCAGAACTTGAAACATTTAAAAGATTTTTATATTAAGAAAGTCTCTCTCACATCCACTTAATGCCACAGAGTTGCTTCTAACTCACAGCAACCTGACAGGACAGAAGAAAACTGAGATTTCTTTGCATTTCTGAGACTACACATCGTCACAGAAGGAGAAAGCCATCTTTCTTCCCCGGAGCTGCTGGTGGGTTTGAACTGCTGACTTTCTGTTAGCTCCCAGCAGATAACCCGCTATATCACCATTAATAACGCCTTCATTTTTAAAAAGGAAATAATGGCAGAAAAATGATAAGTAAGCATATGTCACTTAATTTATGGAAGAAGCAGTTAATAGTGGTAATTAACCCTAAAATTAGATGCAATTGTCAGAGTCGGCTGGGGTTAATTTGTGCTCTTCGTGAAAGAATGACTTTGATAGTCAGTAGTGTATCTTCCATCTCTAGTGTTTATTGTGCTTTTAAACAAAACACTGTCAGTCTGAACAACCAATGTTTACAGTTCCCACAGGAGTCCTTCCAGCGCTGAAGTGAAGGACAATATCAGACTGCTGACACTTTCTATTGACTGCACATTTGAATTGAGAACTATTTTTGTCCATTTACATATTATAATCTGTAGCCTTAATTTATAAAGAGATGACTGGTAATTCTTTAGTTTTGCTTGGTAATGTTTCTTTTTTATATAAGTACATTAAATAATTCTGGATTAAAGAACTTTAGGTCACATATCTTTTAAAACTTTATAAATTAATAAAGCCATTCACCCCAGATTTCTACACGATGTCCTCCACAAAAGTCAACAACAAAATGAGATATTGTAATAGCAGGGACCACCGCTTGTCTGTCAGTTTGTCAAACTCATGTGTTCCTGTGTTGCTGGAAGCTTTGTCACTTGTATTTCAAACACCACTCGGGTCAAACAAGTTGAACAGGTTTCAGCAGAGCTTCTAAATCAAGAAGAGAAGATGAAGAAGGAATAGATGTTCACGTCTCAGGAATGAGCTACGGAAAGACTTACAGAGAGCAGTGAGAACTTGTAAGAGACTGGAAATCTCATTAATGATAGTGGAATATTATTGGATATAGTGCCAAAAGATGGAGTTGGAAGGCACTCACAATGTGGCATGGAAGATGCCTACTCAACGTACAGCCAACAATAATAACATGGATGGAGGAAGGCTTTCAGGACCTCCATTTAGTGATGGGAGATGACTCAAAAATATAAGAAACAGGTGTAAACATCTGTAAATAATTGGACATGATACATGCAAAGTGTGAATTTAGAAAAATTCAAAGTCATTAAAAATTGAACAGGAATGCATAAAGATCAATGTTCTAGGCATTAGTGAAGTGAAATGAACTGGTGTTGCATTCACCATTATAAAGAAAATTTCAAAATCTATCTTGAAGAACAATGCAGTCAGTGATAGGATATTTACCTGTGTACAAGGCAATTTAGTTAATAAAACCATCCTTCAAACTTATGCATTGTCCACTAAAGCTAGATATGAAGAAATTGAATCATTTTAAAACATTCTAGAGTCTGGATTTGAGCAAACGTGCCATCAAGATATATTGAAAATGGAAAATATTATGGACAGCAGTTAAACATTATCAGGCACTGAAAACTCCTTAATGGCAGTGGAGCATTGGTGGCTATGGTGCCAGAAGATGTACAATTGAAATGGAAAAGTTGGAAACAAAGAGGAAGGAACAGTGGCTGTGAAATATGACCCCGGTAATAGAAACAAACCTGGAGATCACATGATTGAATTTTGCAAAATCAATGACTTCATTGCAATTTCTGTTTTTTAACAATACAAATGGAAACTATAGATGTGGTCTTCTCCAGACAGAATACACAGAAATCAAATTGCTTACATCCGTGGGAAGAGATCAGGCCAGGCAGGGCTGATTGTAGAACATATCATCAATCACTCAAGTGAACCTTGAAGAAAATTAAAGCAAGTCAATGCGAGCCAAAATATGATCTTGAGTATAACCCACCTTTTGGGATAATCCCTGAAGTTAGAGAATATATCGATAATAAATTTGATTCACTCAACACTAATGACAGAAGACCTGGATAACACTGGGATGACATCAAGAACATCATATATGAAGAAACAAAGGATCATTAAAAGACAGGAAGGAACAATGGATGTGAGAAAATACTCTGATGCTTGCTCTTGAATGTAGAATAGCTAAATAATATGTAAGAAATGATGAAGCCAAAAAGCTAAAAAGAAAATTGCAAAGGCAGCTCAAGAAGACAAAGTAAAATATTATAGGAAAATGTGCAAAGAGCTGGAGTTAATTAAAATGGAAAAACAAGGTCAGCATATCCTATACTGAAAGAACTGGGGCAAAAGAAGTGCAAGTCTTTATTTGCAGTATAGAAAAATTCGACGGGAACAATATTGAACAATAGTGATTGCATCAAAAGAAGATGGAAAGAATACACATATTTATTGTACCCCCACCAAAAAACAACAACCACAACAAAAACTTAGTCAACATTCTGCCATTTCAGTAGCATATAAGCAAGAACCAGTGGTACTGAAGAAAGAAGTCCAAGTTGCACAGAAAATATTAGTGAAAATCAAGGCTCTGGGAATTGCCAGAATGCCTAAAGATATATTTCAACAAGCTAATGAAGCACTCACTGGACTCAGTCCCCTATGTCAAGAAAACTTACAGAGAGCTACCTGGCCAACTGATTGGAAGAAATCCACATTTACACCCATTCTAAAGAAAGATGACCCAACAGAATGTACAAATATTCCAAAAAAAATATTATGAATGTGACATGCTAGTAAAATTTCCTAAAGATCATTCCACTGTGGCTGCAGCAGTACAAAGATGAGGAGCTGCCAGGAATTCAAACTGGATTCAGAAGAAGATGCGAAACAAGGAGTATCATCTTCAACATCAGATGGATCTATACTGAAAACAGAGAGTACCAGGAAAACAAATTAAAAGTTTACTAGTGTTTTATTGACTATGCAAAGAAATTCGACTATAATGATCAGCACAAACTATGGATATCATTGAAAATAATGGCAATCCCAGAACACCGCGATGAGCTTATGTGGAACATGCACATGGACCAACAGAGAGTCATTCAAACAGAACAAGGGATTACTGTAAGTTTTAAAAGCAAGAAAAGTGTGTTAGGGTTGTATCCCGACACATACTTATTCAATCTGTGTGTTGAGCAAATAATTCAAGAAGGTGAACTATATGAAGAAGAATGAGGCATCGGGATTGGTGAAACTTCACTAACAGTGGGCAATAGACAGACGACACAACCTTGCTTGCTGAAAATAAGGAGGACTTGAGGCTCTTGAAGATCAAGAGTTGCGGTGTTCAAGATGAATTATACCTCAAAGTCAAACTCAAAACTCCAAATTCACTGCCATCAAGTTGATGCTGACTCATAGTG